CATTTTTAGTATTCCGCACTTCTCAGGGTCTTGATTAAATCAAATCTAGTAATTATCACTGTGTGACTTCATTTGAAAAGCTTAGTCTATATTTCTTTAAATGAGGAAAACCTGCTATATACTTAGTTTGATCTTTATTCCATCAGGCATTCAAGTTTATCATTTATATCCCATTAACAATTCTTTAAAGGCAGGCTAGAATCTGAATGGAATGCATTTTCCTTTCATTTGTATATTAAGCAGCAAATATATGATAGGTTTGGAAGACACAACAAGGGACAAGATTACAAAACCATTCTCTTTAGGCACCTTAGAGTCACATTGGAAAAGAGAATATTTATAGTTACTATGAAGAAGGATAAATAGTTTAAGCTGCTAGGAAATGTAGGCTGTCACGGAAGCTACTAAGAAAATTATAAAGGCAATTATGAAATATTCAAAGAGTTATAGAAAGGAGAGTGACATGATCATATATTTATTTTTGTCTGACTTCAATGAGGAAACTGGTTTGGTAGGTGGGAAAATTAGAATTAGAACAATTCTGAAAGTACTACAGAAACTGGGACATCACTCATGTATGAACAGTTGAAAAAGAGTGGCAATTTTGAAAAGTATTTAGGGCAAGTGTGTTTAATGTATACACTCTATAACACAATGTCCTTGCCCAGTGCTTCTATTCCAGGATTCGTGGAAGAATCACTTGGAAAGCCTTTAGCATTCACATGCTTGGACCCAACAATAGGCTTGCTGAAGAAGATTCTTCAGAGCTTCAGTTATTAGTTACCTCCATAGCTGGTTCCTATCTTGAAGTGATTCAGACACAAACACACTTGTGTATTCCTTTTTCCCTGTTATATTCACTTTAAAAATTATATTTAACTGAAAGTCCATATTATACATTAGCATAGCAAATATAATTCACAAAGCAGGATTAGTTAAGTATTATTTATGTTGCTGATGACAGCACAAACTAGAGAAATTACTAATCCCCAGAATAAATTAATAGATGAACATTTTTTTTTGTAAAACCCAAAGTTGGTAGGAAAATGAATAATGAAATACCAGTTAAAGACAAATTAGCTAAAAGGGAAAACATTCTGAATGAGCTAATTGGATTTAGAATTTTAATGGCATCCAAGGCAGTTAGCCAATAAAAAAAAATTTAAAAAAAACCTGCAAAAATCATTTCAAATGTGATACTTTACCAAAAGAAGATTTTTTTAAAGTACTGGAGATTGAACACAGGGGTGATTTCTCACTAAGCTGCTTCCCTAACTCTTTAATTTTTTAATTTTTGGACAGGGTCTCATTAAGTTGACAAGGTTGATTCCACACTTGGATCTTCCTGGTTCAGCCTCCTGAATAGCTGAGATTACAGGCATGTGCCAAGCCACCCAACAGATCTGAATATTTTCAAATGAAACATGTATATGTCCCCTCAAAATAACAAATGATAATTTTATTTTTGTCAGAGAGAAAATCTTTATTTACCAAATTGAAAATGTCATAAATGCATTGCATTCTATCAAGTAACAGGTTTCAAAGAGATCAATGAAAATTAATATATAAAATCAATACTTAAGACTTGAAATCCAATTTTTTTCTATTAATTTGCTTTTTCAGGATACTTGATTATATAATGTACCCATATATATTAGTTTGTAAGGCAAAATTTTAAGGAATGTTATTAGAATGGGGTTAAGGAGGGGATTGATATGGTTTGAACAAATACCTATGTGATAAAATGCTATTAAAAGAAGAGTTACTAAAAGATAACTAAAGTATCAGTGTATTTCAAAAGAACCTTTTGTGAAACTCATAAACAAGATAAAAACTCAAACAAGGACATATTATGCTGAGATGTATTAAAATTAAGTACTTACTTTAGTTTAAAAATAAATAATAAGGATTTCTCACAGTTACAAAATAATTTGTTTACAAAAGTTGGACTTTTATTAAAAAGATATTTTAATCAAAGATGAATAATTTGTAGTGAACTCAAATAAACTAATGAAATTTGATTTGTAGTTTTAAAAATTTTAGCTTAGAGAATAATTCAATTGATGATTTTTAAAGGTATCTATTATGAATATCTTATTTTTAAAACAGTTGTCTATGCTAATCATAATAAAATTGCTTTTACTTGCCAGGCATGGTGGCCCACTCCTGTAATCCCAGCAGCTTTGGAGGCTGAGGCAGGAGAATCTCAAGTTCAAAGTCAGCCTCAGCAACTTAGTGAGGAAGCAACTCAGGGAGACCCTGTCTCTAAATAAAATACAAAAAACGGGTGGGGATGTAGCTTAGTAGTTAAGTGCCCCTGAGTTCAATTTTCCATACCCCCGCCTCAAATTGCTTTTACTTATTTGCAATAAAAACTAATCTGAATTAGCTGCACAAACATGTATAATCATTACTAATCAAACATCACTTTAAAACTCAATTCTATTTAGTTCTGTTTAAGGGAGAAAATGAATGGAAATATAAAAACAATCTCACTAAATTCTTAGAATTTCTTCTATAGTGAATATCACTAAATAGTTCAAAATTGTGAAATTAAGTACCCTCAGAACATCTCTCAACTCTTCCTATTGGTTCTTCCTACTTCCCTTTTACTGGTATTGATTTATTATTAAAATCCATTCCAAAGAGACAGGTAGAAAGTTAAATAGGGAAATGTTACAGACTTTAAGATTACTATCTTCTTATTAAAAAAAAAAAAAGTGATATTAAGTTTGTCTTGTTCAAAGAGGTTCAGAGTGCATGTTAAGCCAGAGGTTGGGGAGATTCTGTCTTACCTATTCATGTGCTTAAAAATATTGTGCTGTCAGTAGAGAAACCATGTAGTCAGACATAGTGTTGGCTGGTAAATATTTAACAGCAGACTTGCCAAAAATAAAAAGCCTTAATTTGTGTTGTTTGCCAATTTCCATGGCATAAATACTCCTACATGGCTGGTTTTGAGCTATCAAAATGATATAAATGAATGTACAAGTGGAAGGATGCTTGGCTGCTATTATATAGAAGTTTACCATACAACTCCAATAGTGTATAGAAGTTTGCAAGTACATACAGTAATAAAATAAAGAGGAAATGAGTTTGAATGCTGATTAGCCTTTTAAAAATATAATTTGTTCAGTGTTAAGTTTATTCAATTTAGTTTTATTCCTTTTCTTAACCACCAGCTCACAAAGTTACTGAAATTCTCAGAGATCAGTTTTATATATGTATAATTCTATAATTAATAGATATATAAAAATCTATTAATTATAGAATTATACATATATAATTATATATAAATTTATGAATACACAAATCATATATATAATATATATTATATGTTTATATAAAACTCTAGCATATTCTAACATATTACTTTATAAAGTTTAGGCACAAAGACCACCCCAGTGACATATACATGTATGGGACACACAAACACAAAAAAGACCTTCTCCAGTATGTATTTATATTGGCAAATGAGAACACATCACTAGATGCCTCCAATAGCCTATATAATAATTTCATTTAGATTGCCTATCTTCTCCCTGATTCAATTCTGGTCCCCAGTAAAGTTACTAGAACTACTATTTGATAATAAATGTTAAATGTTAGTAATCATTATTATAAGGCAGGCATAACATAATGGACTCCCTTAAAATTGGGCATTTTCAATTAAGTCTCAATTGTTTTCTCAGGGCTAGTCATTGTCCTGCCAACCTGTTCTTGAAGTTCTTTTCTCCAACCCTGCATACCACAGACAGCCATTTCATGCTGAGCAAAGATGCTGAAATTGCTGCAACAGTTCAAAGACAAGTCCCTTGGAAATAACAGGATGCAGAAGGACCAGGAAACCAGAATTCAACATATCTCAAGGTTCCACTCCAGGGTACACAGGCTGGCTGAATTGACACATGATCTTTCTTGGCAATTGTTATCCATTAATGATCCCTTCTAAAAAATAGAATGTTTCTGTGGGTTAGGAGAAGGAAGACTAGCTGTCTTCCCAGTTTGTGCAAAGTTCTAATAAATTCATTTTTCTGTTTTATGTAATTTTCCCTTACTCTCAATGTGGGCTGTTGACTGAATCCAGTCAGTTGGGATCTCAAGATTCAGGCTTCTGCCTAGCCCTTTAACAATGATAATATTTCTCCTAAATAATAAGTGTCTTTTGTTCTCATACCATTAGACTCACCTATTAATAAAGACAAATCCATTGAAAGGTAATATTATGTAATAAAAGTCTTTGAATATGAAGTCACAAATCTCAGGCTATTGTTTTGAAGTCATACTTATTAGAGTAATTAATTTAAAATCACTGAAATTCTCTGCATATTATAAAGTAGTATTAGTGTACATATATTTTATAGAAATTTTCAAAAATATAAATATTATAATTATACCTTGATACCATAACATATTTGAATGTCTAACTCTTGGAAGAAAGGTAAAATAATCCTATTACATTTCCTTGACATGCTCAACATTTGAGTAACTGAGCCTAGGTTTGGGAGGGTAAATGTACTCAATGGACAAAATCATTCAAACCTTCAGATTTAATTTTCCTGGGCTGATTATTTTTGGTACAAAAATATACTTTTATGGTATCATATAAGCAAAGCCCCACTATCATTAACATGAAGTACATTTAATAGAACTCTCAAAAGCTTTGTTAAAAAAATATACACACACACAACACACACACACACATATAATTTTATAACTGATGCCAATATCACCTCCTCACCTTCAGTAAGGGGAACCTTAGCATCAATTTTTTTCTTTCATAGAACCTTAAAATTTTAGAGCTGAATTTTTGAGTATCTATCTACAAACTAGAACACCAAACCCTTCATTTGACATATGGAAAATACTGGTGCCCAGGAATATAACTGACCCTTGCCCCATGTCACATAGTTAATTACTGACAGAGTAGAGTCTAAGCACTTCTAAGACCTCATTGTCTGCCAGCACTAAAAGTCATTAATCTTAGAGTAAACCATTACCTCTTGAAGAACTCTCTTCATCTTTAATAATAACGTCTTTACTGCTGTGCAGTCCTGTAACATCAGTCTGAAAGGCAGAGAATCTATGCCCCCATTTTCTTCCACACCTTGTAGGGGCCAATCTGTTGATGGACTGCTGGGCATTCGGCTTATATGGGAACACCTGGATTCCTGATCTTCTTTTGTTAATTTCAGGGAAAGATTCCTAACAAGGAAAAAAACCACAAATTTATAATGTAGCATGTTTAGGGTGTTTCCAAAGTTGTATATTAATGTCTATAGTATGCTAGGAAAAAACATTTTGTGAACCTCATAATTTCTTCATAGTAGGCTTGAAAATATTCAGATCTTCTGCATACATTTTGAAATGACTTAATTGTATATTTAGTGGCAAGATTCAATGACAATTACTGTTTTAGAATATGATCATTCATTAATTAGCATTTCATGTACACATGATACTTAGTTAACTCATTTAAAAATTCTGAGATTCAACAAAAATATCACTGGAAGAAAAATTTCATATTTGTGGTTCTAGTAACGAAAATTAACTGAAAGGAAAAGCTTAAGCAGCAAACATTGTGACAAAATATATTTGGTATTTATTGAATTATAAACAAATCAATAACAATTTTAGTGATTAAGAAAGCTATTCATTGTCCTGCCAACCTTTAAAATTTTAGAGCTGAATTTTTGAGTATCTATCTGCTGGGAGCCATTAGCCAAGTAGGTATGACAATTTCCTTGCCAGCGTACCCCATGTTGCTTAGTGGAAGGACTCCTGGAAATAGGACATTTTGCAGTGACATTGCATGTAGGTGACCTTGCTCAAGGACCAGGGCGGAACCGGGTTTAGGGTGTTCCCGGTTTAGGATGATTCCGAGTTTAGGGCGTTCCCGGTTTAGGACTATCCGGGTTTAGGGTAGTTCCAGGTTTAAGATTATTCCTGCTGGGCACAACAGACACTAGTATGGCAATATGTAAATCAATGGATGTGTAACTGATGTGATTCTGCAATCTGTATATGGGGTAAAAATGGGAGCTCATAACCCACTTGAATCAAAGTGTGAAATATGATATATCAAGAACTATGTAATGTTTTGAACAACCAACAATAAAAAATTAAAAAAAAAAAAAGATTATTCCTGCTGGGAATAGGGCGTATCCTGCTGCCTGAGTTCCCCTTGAGTTCTCACGGGATTCAGACAGTATTTTTTGGGAGACAGAAGCCCAGTGGGGATGGATTTGGGCAGAGAACGTGGATTTCCCCAGAACGTGATTGTGGACGGCTGGTGTGAGTTCGGGAATAAAGAGTTGCTGTTTGAATCTACAAGCTGTGTGGTGGCTCGTGATTGTGTGCCCAGCCAGACTGCGGCATTTGTGCCCAGCCAGACTGCGGCATCTATCCACCAACCAGAACACCAAACCCTTCATTTTACATATGGAAAATACTGGTGCCCAGGAGTATAACTGACACTTGCCCCACGTTAATCACGGACAGATTTATTTAAAAAAGTGAAACAAAACAGGAAATGTATAATTCTATGATGGAATTAGCAGGTGAAGGGAAGCAACATATGCCACCCCCAAAAATGTCCCCTTTAGCTTAAGGATCATTTTGGACTGAAGGCAACTGAGAAATTGATATAAGAATAGTTCTTTGTCTTCCACCTTTACATAAAATCAGATATACATTTACAAAGGTGTTCCTCTCCTCTTTCCACCAGGAAGGATATGAGTTAATTACTGAAGACAACCTTATATTCTCATGAGTCAGGATAAGGCAGCAGAGGAATCCATGTAGCTAACCTGACTAACGCTTTTCTCCCATTTTTTGCCCCATATATTCACCATGCCACACTTTGATGTCCTAGAAACTCAAAGTCCCTGTATTAGGTTACTTTTCTAAAAATTTATTGTTCTTTTGTTAAAATGATAAGATGCTATCTAAGCCCCATGCTGACCATGCCTCTGATTGACTCATTTCTGAGTGCTCCTGTGTGTATGTGCAATGCACATATTAATAAACTTGTTTGTGTTTCTCTTGTAAATCTGCCTTTTTTCAGTCTAATTTACGGACCCCACTTGGAAAATTTGAGAGAGTAGAAGGAAAAGACTCAAAAACAAAGAGCTCATTTCTCCTGAAAGACAGCTTCTTCTAAACTGACAAAATACAGATTAACAAGAACAGATGATAGTTTCAAAACAAATCTAACCTAACATATATATGAAGTCCTTATAAGACTGCCTGAGTTACAATGGGCACAGAAACATTACTTATTATTAAATACATTCTATTAGTAAGGGGAAAATCTTATTTTGTAAATGCACTTAGGTTAATTTATCCCAGACCCACGTACTTCTTACCATTTCTTTAACTCTGATTATGTATCTATCTATTTCCTCATGTAAAAAATGATAATAACTCATTTTACAACTACTTTCTCTGGACTTGTTCAAAATTTGAATAAATTAGCACATATGAAGTGGTAAGCAAAATATCTGGCCAATAGTCAGTCAGTCCTCAAAACTGCTGTTTATTTATTTATTACATTATTACAGACATAAAATGGGGTAATAATAATTATCACTTCAAACAACAATGATAGTTAATAAATATGTCTATGAAGATAAATAAAAAATTGAGTGATTCAGGAGTGTGTTTTCTTTACTAATTATTCAATAATTTAGAAATTAAATTATTCCCAAGATAAATAACAAGATTTGAATAAAATTAATTGAGGCTATATTATTTTATTTGCATTTTTACCTGACCTGTATAGCAAGTACCAAGGCATCTCTTTGTTTTTTTGTTTTTTTTTTTTTTTGCTTGTTTGTTTGTTTTTTTGTTTTCCAATTTAGCTAAAGGATCATGCCATGTATTTCAGAAAAAATAGTATACAGACATAGATAAAAATGCAAGGGTCTCTGTTATTTTCAAATAGTCAAAAAGGAACATGCACAGCAATGAATTTAGAAGATAAAGCTAACCATTTGTTTTGTATCACAATAGTTTGTATCTAAATTCCCCAGAGAATAGTGACATTTTTCACAGTTACTAAAACCATCCACATTGTGTCCCACAGATCAACACTGGCTTAAATTGCAAAGATTAATAGGTTTCTAGCACTGGCTTCAAGAGCTTCACCATATTTTTAACTTCTTAGTTGTATCAAAAAATATTAACTAATATTCTTTCACATATGAAAAATTTATCTTGGAACATTTTATTTTTACATAAAAAAACAGATCCACTACAAACCTGTAGTAATCAAAACTGTTCTTAATTAGGTCAAGGAAGTTGATGAAATGAATATCAATCAGGACTGTTACTCAGGGCCTTGGTCAGCATACCATTTTGTTTTATGTTTATTTCTACTGGCCTTCTGATTGGGTAGTGCCCATAGTTTATAATGAATAATATTCAATAACATTCTCAGTATATTAAATATTAATGTTTATAACAAGAGAACATTATTGGGTTCCAAATATGCAAGTTCCTCTGGGTAAATTCAACTAAAAAAAATAAAATAATCCCCACGGTTAATGAGAAAAGAAGAAAAATCTTTAATAAGATATCATAGTTTCCTTAAGTATAGACAACCCAAAATAAGACAGTGAGGATATTATTAGGTCCAAGTCTTCCTCTGTTCCTATATTAGCAGGGCTCACCTGATAACACAATTCATACATTTCTAGATATATACCTCACTGTCAGCAAATTCTCTGAATTATTATGGTTTCAGAAAACTTAACAAATGTGTTGTATAGCAAAAAAGATCATCCCTTACCATGGGGGGGGGAAGTATGATTCTGAAGCTGGACACAGTGGTTCATTAATCACCATAACTACTACAAACAAAACGCAAAGACAGTGTAATCTCCACTGAGAACATTTATATACAGTTCACCCTCTCTGTGTCAACTCTATGAATCTTCAGTAGAATTACACAATAATATTTACACATGTCTTGATGCTTATAAAAACTGATTAAATCTTTATAATTTAAAATTTAGTAACATTTAGATAAAACTAAATCAAGACTTAAGAACCTTTTCAGTTATAAGTGCCAGGCAATAAAAATTTTGAGACTAATAGCAATGCTTATAAATATTACATCAAATGTATTCTTGAAAATTTAGAGTATTTTAGAGTTTTAGCTCATATTTAAAATAGTTAAACTACTACAGAATATTAGCTTTGCATGTGGTCACTGTGATTCTTTGTGTAGTAGGAATTTCCTATGAAACTAGTTCAGAAGTTCTACTGTAATTCTGTTTTTTTCAGTATGTCAGTCAACTTTAATGGGAAAATATATATCTTGACAAAAACTATAGGGTGATTAAAGTTTTTTGTTTCCTACCACAGAGAAAAAATATAACAGCCTTTTTATCATTTTTCACAGTTATAACTAGCAATGTCACCTTGAAAGTAAAACATTTTCTTCCCATTCACAAGAAGTCTTCAAATCTTTTGAAAACTTCCCAATATAATGGCCAAAATGACTAACAAAATACAAGATCATGTCAGTTGCACAGAGATCATATCATATGCACACTTCCTATTTAGTGCACTGACAAATTTCATTACAGGGATTGTCTGTGGCTAACAGGTATCTCAATGACTTATACTTTGTAATGTGACTATGATTTCTCAACCAATTTACAAGAAAAAGAAAAATAATAGTAACCTCTAGTTGCCTAATATAATAAATAAACACATGTACATGACTATCTCCCAAAGCTTCATTAAGTAGATTTGCAGAAAACAATGATTTTTAAAAACCTTAATTTGGAAAACTTACTTTTATTTAAGCTTCATTTCAAAATAAACCTGGTTATTTATGGTGAATTCAACCTTTCCTTGAATACTTCTAAGACAGGTACAATGATGTACATGTATGCTAGTTACTTCTGGAAGGAATGGATACAGGATCTCTCCATGTAGTAGTTTAGTTTTTATCAGAACTTAACATATTACATTTAGATAAAAATGTACCTGTAAAAAGCTATTTTACCAGCACTTGTGATATGAGAAAAGGTGAGGTACACTCCAAACACCTCTACATAACCAATGTAGTTCTTTATGACAGGACATAACTGCCTCACCACTTCTCATCTCAGAACACTGCCTCCTTGCTCTTTGAATTCTAAACACATGATCTTCTGAAATATATAAACTCCTCTGGCCTGAAAGGCTTTGCA